CACAAATGGAGGCTAGAGAATCGAACCAAATTCTCCAAAATCTACTCTTTCAAGGCACGCCCACAAGGTGTTCGACAATTTGCTCCAACCAAATTTTGAGTTCGATTGTCAACCAATTCTCACCAAATCTATTCCAATCTCTCTCCCAACTATGTCATCCAACAAACGAGGCCGCACGAGCGAAGTATCATCTTCCAAAGGGAAGGGAAAGGGAAAGAAAAGTGCCACCGCCCAATGAGGACGAGCGTGAGAGAGCTAGGGAGGAGCAACCCGATCACATCGACTCCGACTGAATCAGGTGTTATCTATCCTTAAACTTTGCGCTAATTTTGTTGAGGGCAACGAAAATTTTAAGTTTGGGGGTGAAAAACAAGTTTTTGTTCTTATTTGTTTTAGTTTGCATGCATTAGGTTTTATTTATTTTTATTGCTTATATCGTTTTCTTTTCCGAAATATATAAAAAAAAAAAAAATAAAAAAAAAAAAAAAAAATAATTGCTTGAGTCGAATGCATCGATGATTTATGATGATGAGAGATGATCAATGTTTGATGATGAAATTGCTTGTTTTGTGTGATAAGGATTTGATGTTTGTTTAGCTTTCGATTCAACGGGACTTAGAAGCGAATTATTGCTAGGAATCACATTTTGTGCATTGCTTTTGTTGAATGTTTTGTATTTTAAATTTGGAATTAATTTGTGCTAGATCACGCTATGTTCGGTTTTAAGACTCACCTTAGGAAATTTATGATACGAAGTATTGAGTAGTGAGTGATTTGGGATATGATTTGGGCCTTCTTTGAACCGTTTGAGCCTTTCAAGCCGACCTTTTTATCGAAATTATCCTTAGAACCTTGTTTTGAGCCTCGGAGAAAAGGTGTTCTTTCTTTTAGCCAATATGTAAGGTAGAATAGGTGGAGATTCTTGAAAAATTATCCCGTGGAGTTCGGTCGAAATTTTTGGTTTTTAGGTCCTTCTTCTTCTTCTTCTTCGAAAAAAAAAAAAAGAAAAAAAAAAGAGAAGAAGAAGAGACTAGAAGGGAGAAATAAGGACTAGTTGTTGAATTATTTTTGAAAACTCGACCCATTGTCTCAAAAGCAAAAGTGGAGACTTTTGAACTTTTGAGAATCGAGTTTACTAAAGTCCGTAGAGGTGAGTTCATTGTTTCAAACGCCTATCTTTCAAATTTTGGCGTAATCACCTAAATTCAAGAAGAATAGCCACATATACCCATATTTCCTACCTCGAACCAAAGAGCCTAACAATTGAAAGCCACAAAGCCCCAATGATCCCAATAGCTTAATGTTCGATATTAGTAGAGTAGAATAATTTGGTGAGTATTTGGAGTCAAGCATATGCATGTAAGTATAAATTCTTTCTATCTTTAATTTGCAAATATTGGATGCTTGAAGCAATTGTATGAATTGTGGTTTTTGGTAATGGTGAGTGACTAAGTGTTGTTGAATTTTGAGCTTGCAAATGCCTAAGAATTGTCATTATAATTACAAGTTCTGAAAACGTGAAGTTGACCATTGATCTATGTGATGAGATGTTATCGTTGAGTTATTTGCTTATTGATAGATTTTGCTTGAGGACAAGCAAAAGTTCAAGTTTGGGGGTGTGTTAAGTGTATATTTTTACACTTTATCGTATCTTTTTATTTGAGCTTTTGGTGTGTTTTAACGATAATTGGTGCTTAAAAAGTTGATTTATTGTATTTTAGGTACAAATTGAAGAATTGGAAAAGTATGGGGTCAAAACTGCAATTTTGGCGAAAATATGGGTCAAAAGTGAAAATATCAAAATTCTGAAGATTTAAGGCTCGGACCCCCGTCCCAGTTTTAGTGCAAATTATGGGACCCCCGTCCCATACCCCGAAGTTGCGCAGTAAAGGGATTTTAATTGCACAAGGAAACTGCCTTCTTCCCCAAGTTCTTCACCCTATATAAGACCAATCCAAGCACACAATTAGGGATCCTTTTTACGCAATTTGGAGAGCAACAAAGCAATAACGAAGACGAAGAATTCGAAGACTCTAAGCATAGATTTATCGTTTATGACTTATTTTATTTGCGTTTTTGCTTTAATCATGTGTAGCTAATTTTCTTATTTCTAGGATTTTATTTGGAACCCTATGTGGGATTTATGAACCCAATTCTATGATTTTATGCAAGTTTTAATTCCGGATTATTTCTTCTACTTGTTTTATTAAGTTCATGAAACTGGCCACTTTATGCGCTTTTATGTTATTGTTAATCGCATGAATCGGAAGATCGGGTTAATAATTAGAACTGTGGTAGAAGAGCCTTTGTGGTATTAACATAGGAATATAGTTAATCTCTTAGGTAGCCATTATTGAGATTTGTGCTTAATGTTGTGTTCTAGAATTAATTGCATAGGAATATAGTAATTGAATCTAGAGTATTAGAATCGTAATACACGTGGAAGCGGGTTATGATTATTTTAGCATCTCAGGTTAATAACCCGGGTTAATTGCTTGCATAATTGTAGGAATTGGTGGAATAATAATCACATAGGGGAAAAAATAAAATCCTAGGCTCGTTTACTCTGATAAATCTTCGTGTTTAATTTGCTTTCTTGCTCTGTCGTTTTAATTTGCTTTTTAATTTACTTTAGTTAATTCTCTCTAAAGTCGACTGTGTAGGGTGGGCTTGATAATAATTGGTAGAATTTAGCGTCTAGGATTAGATAATTAAATATTCCCTGTGGGTTCGATATCCGGACTTTTGGTCCACTATATTACTTGTACGATACGTGCACTTGCGTGTAGGTTTTCGACCAACACTAAGCAGACACAGTATACACTTGGAGTTCTTATCATCATTATTACAAACATTATCGTCACTTTTAGTTTCTTCGATTCTTGTTCTTCGTCGTCATCAGAATGAACCCATCCAAAAAAGCAACGAACACGACCCCAAATGAAAGCGAGGATGGGTCATGGGAGAGATGACAAAAGGAATCAGACACAACCCCAAATGAGAAATTCAACACACAAATGGATTTCAAAGAAAAAGACACGAATCAAAAGGGACAAAAATAAGAAGCAAATACCTTGTCTTTATCAGCGGCGGCGCGTCCCTTGGCCTTGCATTCGAGAAGGGATTTTTCCATTTTTAAGCCATTAATCGATTTCACGGGTTGTGGAAGAAAATGAGACTGAAAAGTGTGGGTTTTATCAGTTTTTCAGTTTTTAGATTGTCACTTTTATCGGAAGTGGTGCGAGGAAGTTGAAAGCGTGTCGTTGAATTGAAATCGTGGGCAATAAAATCAGCAAAAAAAAACTGTTCAAATAACTCATACACATAGAATTACAAAATTAACCCTAAGGTTTCAAATATTTCACAAAAATAGGATTAGGGTTTCGGGGCAAAACTTTTCTTTTATATATAAAGATTACTGATAATCCTCCCTATCTCATTTTTAATAAGGGTGGATCCACCTTCATTTTCAAATTAGTAGTAGGTCCACATTTTTTATATTCCAAATTTACCCCTCTTTACCATTCATTATCATTATTCATTACTCATTACTTGATGCATTTTTATATTTATATAAAAAACAAAATTAATTTCTGTTTTTTATTTATTAAATTATTTCAAAATATTATTTTTTATAAAAATATTTGTTCTAATAAATAATAATAAAAAAAAAATTCACTTTATTTTTTCATTTGTTCCCCATAAATCAACTAAAAAAATTGTGAAATCAACTAAATTTCTTTTTTTTTTTTCATTTTTTTTGAAAAGAAACATTTCAATTTATTTTAAATATTTTTTTTATTTGTAATTTATTTATTAATTCACAATCAACTACAGAATTTCCGTGATCAACTAATTTTAATTTTTGTTCTTCCGAATCGGTTATGAAATTATGATAAAAATAAATAAAATTGTGTTATTGAAGGGGTTTTGACTAATAGAGTAAAAGGAGTTGAAACCTCCCTTATTATACCCAACTAGCATTTTTCACGTGCGATGCACGGGATATTATTTCAAAAGTGAAAAAAAATAATTATTTTAATAAATAATAAGAAAACATAGTACACTAACATAGTAAAATTTAATAATATAGTATTATTCATACTTTATATAACATTAGTTTTTTTAAATCTGATATAATAAGATTTATAATCCAAATAAATAAATTAAGATTTAACAAATTGAATTTCTATCTTTATCTCTTAAGATTTGAGATATATTAATAAAAAATAGAAAATTAATAATTGTTTAAAATTACAGTTAGAAAATTAGTAGAGAAAAAATATTAAAAATAAATAATTACAGAAGCGCCAGTTAGGATTTTTTAGGGTTGCCCATCGTTTCTTTCTTTTATATATAAGATGTATTGGGGGTTTCACTAATTATCCCTTAAAATATCTATAAATTAATACAGTCAAGACTAGGTAAATTCTAGTAATTTAACGAATTATTAACTGATCGAGTTAATAATTTAACACATTTTCATCGAGTCGAGACCAATAGAAACTATTATATAAGCAATGCTATTAATTTATCAAGGTTCTACTATAATACATATCTAGAATAAATTGTACAATATAATAGTTTTAATATGTTCTTTGAAATTAATTCATAAGTTAAGATTAGATAAAAGTTGAAATGTCTTCAAATTTTATCTACACTTCCAATTTTAGTGCAAATGTTTTTTTGAAAAAAAATCGAATCAAATATTGAAAATCGAAATGAGATAAAAAAATATCTTATAATTTGAAAATCTTGAAAATGTAATTAGTGAAAAGTAAATGGTTACCACATAACTCTCTTAGACATATACAAATCTCAATTTAGAAGGAAGACAAACATATAAACAATCTTCCATAACTGGTTCATGATCACAACGTTATTTCATAAAATATTAACGCACAACACATAGAATAAAGAAAAGAAACAACGATTCAATTGTAGCCAATATACATAGTTTTAAAGATATAACCAGCACAATACAAACACTTATTTGCAAATTATCGGGGATATAAATCAGTAGATGTCACATCATTCATAGACAAGCCTTCAGATATCATCGTCCTGGTTTTGAATCCTCTCTCAGCATCCGACGAGTTCGAATCATCATAGTTATGAGAGAGTGAAGTGTCTTGGCCGAAAGTACTAGTCATAAAAAATGCTGGTTCCGAAGGTACTGGCATGGTCATGGTGGAGCTGCTCAGCATTAGAAGAATAGAAGCCATTGTTGGTCTTTTGGCAGCATTTTCTTGAACACACAACAAGCCAATGTGAATGCATTTTATCATATCCCGTAACGAACCCGTGCCAGCTGCTCTCAAGATAGGATCTATCATATTCTCAGTTGTTCCTTCGCGCCAATTCTTCCATGTCTATAAATATATATGTATATATACGTATATGCATGTCATTTTGACCAGATTAATATTTGGCTTTAAAAATTAAGGCATCTAAGTAATTAATTACTTACAAAAGTCAAAAGATCCTCCACATTGTCCCCGATCCTGATAGACCTATTTTTTTGACCGCTCATGATTTCCAGGATTAAAACTCCGAAACTAAACACATCGGACTTAACAGAGAAATGCCCGTGCATTGCGTATTCAGGCGACATATATCCACTACAACAACATAGAAATAATTTCTCAGCTTAGATTCTAATTCAAGCATATAATAACAGACATTACTTACTAAGTTCCAACGATCTTGCTTGTATTTCCTTGAGTTTCATCTTGTTCGAATAATCTCGCCATGCCAAAATCTGCAATTTTAGGATTCATCTCTCTATCTAAAAGTACATTAGCAGGTTTGAGATCACGGTGAATGATCCTCAGTTGAGAATCCTCATGCAAGTACACAAGTCCCCTTGCGACACCCCCTATGATCTTGTAACGTTTATCCCAATCCAAACACGAACGCTTTGTTGGGTCTATATGTTCAATTAAATAAGGTTAAATCAAATTTGCTACTTCTAAATTAAGCAAGAATTTTTTACCAATATATTTATTATTTTATAAAATTATTAAGAAGAAATATTACCTGACAAACAGAGATCAAGGCTTCCATTCCTAACAAATTCATAGACGAGAAGCTTTTCCGTTCCTTGTATAGAGAAACCCAAGAGTCTAACTAGATTCCGGTGTTGAAGTTTAGCGAGTAATAAGATCTCATTCTTAAATTCTACATCACCCTGTCTTGAATTCTTGGACAATCTTTTGACCGCTATTTCTTGATCATTAGGGAGTTTTCCCTGAAATTAAATTACAAAAATCACGAGTTTTTGCATTGTTTTTAGTATCATTGTGCTTATGCCAGAATGAACTCATATATCAAATTACCTTATAAACAGCACCAAATCCACCTTGCCCGAGCTTGTTATTATCAGAGAAATCATTTGTTGCTGTTTTGATTGTGCTATAACCATATTGCAGAGATTCAACTGTAGTAATCTCGTCTACAACTTTATCTACATTTAACAAGAAAGAAATTATACTTGAGTACGTACAACAATTATACAAGTAAACAAAATTATGGATTTCAAAAATAAAATTTCTTACTCTCAGAATTTTCAGTTGGTCTACGTTTTATCTTTTTTCTCAAACAAATGCCAACTAAAGCAACTACTACTATCACACATGCAGCAATTGAAACCGCAATAATAACGACAGTTCGAGCTGATGAGTTGTCATCATTCTTTCCTGCAAAATTTCAAAGAACTTGTCAATCCTTTTGACACTAAAATAGTTAGGCTTCATTTGCTTGGTAAGATTATCTATTAATAATTACATAATTAGACCTTATTAGATGTTTGGTTAGTCCATTAATTTTTCTACTGTGTCTGCAGTTTTGGGAAATATGACACTAATCATAGCTAATTAAGCCATTACTTATTGGACAGGTCCAACAATATAATTGACTTTACATATGATCATTTAAGGTTATTAACTAACGCCAGTTTGATTGATGAGATTAGCCAAGAATAATTAAATAGTAAATTTTAATTTGATGTTTGGATAAAATAACTGTGGTTAGTGACAAAATTGACCATATAGTTCTTTCCTTCACAATGACATATTCTATGAAGTTAAAAATAATTAATAAAAAATAAAATAATTATAAAAAAATCCAAAAATGTAAGCACTGAAATTTTGAAAAACAATTCTTAAAAAATAATTAGGAAGTAGGGGAAAGAAAATAACTTGTAATTTTTTTTTACAAAAAGAGAAGATTTTATGCAGAAATAAATTCAAAAATAATAATAATACAAAGAATAAAAAATAAAAAATAAAGAATATTGAAAATTATTAATAAAAAAATATAGATTAATAAAAATATATAAAAGTACAAATTAAATAAGAAACTAATAATTAAAAATTTAAAATATAGAAAAATATAACTAATAAAATAACTTAAGAAAAAAGAAAAGCTATGTATGATAGGAAAGGGTACATAGGTCATTTCAAAGTAAATAGGGGTAATGTAAAGGAAATCAAATATCACTGTTATTATGGCAGAGAAGATAATAAATCCAAAATTTAATTAAAAAATGCTTTATAAATTGGGGTCTTTACAAATAAGTCCATTAATGGGTACTTATTCATAAAGAGATCCAGATAAAAAACTCATTTATCAATAAGTCCACACATGACCCTGATTTTTGTAAAGGACTAAAATAACCCGTCATACTTTCATATGCTACAATTTCATCATTAACTTTATTTAACCTCAATGTGACCCCAAATTTCACAAATTATTCAATTTTGACCCAAAACTTTTTTTTTCCAATTTTTTTTTCAAAAACTTTTTTTTCCCGCCGGATTCCGGCGCTGACAACGCCGGTCTCCAGCGTTGGATTTTCATTTTTTTTTTCTTCCGGATTTTTTCGCCGGTTTCCGGCGTTAACCGGCGGTTGACTTTTTCGATTTTTTTTTCTTCTTTTCTTTCTTTCTTTAACTTATTTTTTCGTTTAAACAACAATATTGCTGTGATTGACTGTAATATTAACTATCTTACTGTTAAACACGGTAAAATTAACTAAACTATAGTTTAACACAATAATATTGCTATATTAATCTCTATCACAGTAATATTAACACAACAAAACTCATTATTATTGTGTAATAGAGCAATATAACTATGTTGACCGTTCTATAAATGTAAACATAATAAAAAACCAAAAGAATTAATATTACTGTGAGTGACAGTAATATTACTATAACAACAGTAATATTACCGTCAACCACAGTAATATTACAATAATAGACAGTAATATTATTACGTTACTCCGTGAATAACTCAAACAAACAAAAAATCCAAACAAAATAATAATATTGATGTGGTTGACAACAATATTACTATAACAACAGTAATATTATTGTGTTTACAGTAATATTACAATAATAGACAGTAATATTATTATGTTACTCCGTGAATAACTCAAACAAAACAAAAAACCCAAAAAAATAATAATATTCATGTTGTTGACAATAATATTATTGTGTTTACAGTTATTTTACTGTCAACGACAATAATATAATTACGTTAACTTGTCAACAAATCAAACAAATAAAAAAAATTAATAATATTAATATTACATTAATTTACTGTCAACGGCAACACAATTACATAAAATGTATTGTCAACGGTAGTACAATTACGTTAATTAAATGTCATTGACAGTATACTTACGTTAATTTACTGTCAGTGACAGCACAATTACGGTCAACGTTTAGCGGCGGACGTAAAAACAAAATAACAAACCAAACAAAAAAAAAACTTAATAAAACACTAAAAAAAATCAACGCCGGAGACCGCCGGAAACCGGCGAAAAATCCGGAAGAAAAGAAAAAAAAAAGAAAAAAAAATAAATAAATAAAGTCAACGTCGGAAACCGGCGAAACAATTCGAAAGGAAAAAAAAAACAAAAAAAAAAATTGAAAAGTCAACGCCGGAATCCGGTGGTAAAAAAAATTGAAAAAACAAATTTGAAAAAAAAAATTGGATCAAAATTGAATAATTTGTAAAATTTGGGGTCAAATTGAGATTAAATTAAGTTAATGATGAAATTGGAGCATATTAAAGTATACTCCAAAAACAGTCAAAATTGAAATTTTATGGTCAAAATTGGATTTTTGTGGACAAAACTGATTAAATTGGGGTTACAATTAAGAATTTGGTATAAATTGTTGAGGGTAATATTGGCATATACATGAATGTTTCCTTTATTTATAATAAATATTAAAGGGATGGACTTATTGGTGAAAGAGATATAACCCCTAAACCTAGAATAATAAACATGCTTGGTTGGGAACTTATTCACAAAAACCCCTTATAAATTAGGGCAAATGGCAAAGAGATCCATCAGAAGGGATTGGAATGCACATAGGTCCAGATAAAAAAAATAGTCTCGCAAATAAATTCGCCCCATGTCGTTTGTCTAAAATATTGATCCTAATATAATTTTCATCAATTCTATCCATTATACTCTAACTTAAATTGTATTGCACATTGATCCTGCATTTGAACAAATATATCACATTAACCCTTATTTTCATATTTTTTTCTTTAATAATTTTATGTGATTTTTTTTTCCAGCCTAATTCTGACGTTGACCGCGTGGTTTTCCAACGTTGACTTTTTTTTAAACTATTTTTTCTCTCTAAATTATTTTGTTAACAATAAATAATTGTTTGAGACAATAATATTGCAAGCCTAAAACGGTAATATTACTATCGCAAACAGTAACATTACTAATATTACTGTTCCGAATACTAATATTACTGTCGCGAAGAGTAATATTACGAGTATTACTATATCGAACAACAATATTACTAATATTACTGTCCCAAACAGTAATATTCCTGCATGATACAATAATATTACCTCAAAGAAAGCAAAATTGCACGTCAAGACGATAAAATTAATTAACATAGTAAAATTACTGTCTCAGACAATGATATTTTTTTGTCTCAGACAGTTAAATTATTGTCTCCGACAATAATATTAATGTCGGAGATAGTAATATTACAGGACAAGACAGTGATATTAATTAAAATAATTTTTTTAAGGAAAATATTTTTTTTAAAGAAGAAAATCAACGCCGGAGACCAGGGGTTGACCTGCCGGAAAAAAAAAATTCAAAAAAAAAAAGTCAACGGCGATTGACCTGCCGGAAAAATAGTTCAGAAAAAAAATTATCAAATAAAATAAATAAATAAAAGTCAACGCCGAAGACCGACGGTCAACGACGGTGGCGGTCAAAATTCGAATAAGGGTTAAAATTGGTTAATTTGTGAAATTGAACTAAATTGGGGTGTCAATCATGAAATTGGAGTTGAATTCGAGTTTCAAGGACTTATGAATAATCTTGGATGTATAAAAAAGTTTTCCTTATTTGCAAATAAGTTTGAATGATGTGGATTTATTTGCAAGAAAAAAAAAGTTGGATGTCCCTTTTTTGACTAGGTGCTCTTGTCATGGACATATTTGTTATTTGCCATAAATTAGTAGGCATAATTAATTTATATTGAAATTATTTTGTCTAGACTAATTATATACGTATTATAATTCCAACGATTTAATAGAATAAAGACACTGAATGGAATGATTTTGAATATCGATTTATCAGTAAAAAAAAAGCTTCTCCAAGTTTTGAATTGCCCAAGCAAGAACTTTATGTAAGAGTTGAAGCACCAAAAGTAGAATTGAGAATTTTCTGATAGACGATCAAAGTGTTTTTCCTTGGAGATGTAAAATTAATTCGACTATCGAATTTTATCAACTTGCAAATTCTTTTTTAGTTAGTTAAAAGAATGAAATTGAATGATATTATGACGATATTAGATAGCATAGATATTATTATGGGATAAGTTGTTCGGATTGCATGCAGCAACTCGCCTGCATGAAGCTGAAATCGCTAGTAATCGTTGGTCAGCTATACGGTGGTCATGAGGCCTAAAATTTTAAATATTTTATTTTATCGCAACTTCAATTAGAGAACCAAATAGAGTATTATAAATTATAAAACTATCATTTTGATTCTCAAAAGTCAAAATATTTCACTCAGATGAAAGCATTAAAGTTATAATTAATTAGTTTGATACTCACAACTCCCTGGAGCTAGGTACAAAAATGCACCGAAAAGAAAGATGAATCAAATATACCTTAGATAGCTTTAGCAATTTCAACAGCAAAAAAGAATAAAATTTCAATATTTTTTTATGGAAAAGCGAATAATAATTTATTTAATGCATATGGATTGAAGTATATAAGTTTGTTAAAAGTATCAAAGTATAATCTCAAGTATCAATTATGTGTTTGATGCTTCATTTTAATACCTGTCAAATGGAGTTGTTCTTAGAAATCAAATTACTAGGTGGCCGCAATTTCGAAAAATATGGCTCTAATCATAGCTAATTAGGCGATCGATTACTTATTGGACGAGTGCAACAATATAATTAACTTATTATAACATTATTGGAACAAAATAAATTACCTGGTGCTGGTGGTGCTGGTGGTGGTGATGGTGGTGGTGACCGCGATATTGGAGACCCGGGCACCGGCACCGGCACGGGCGCGGGCGCGGGCGGGGGCGCTGGCACAGGCTCTAGTTGTTGAAGCACAGTTTCATTAAAAAATGGATAAGTCTCATAACGAAGATTGCAACTTTGCAGGAGCACTCTAGCCCCTATCTTACTGTCACAACATCTTGGTATATCCGCTGCAGCGGTTGATAAGCAAAGGTTGCAATCCTTCTGAGACAAATCCGGGCTGCATTGAACCAGTGAATAAATTGTCTGGAAATCAGGGGCGGTGATATTCCCAGCGGCGACCTTCCTCGTGCCGCCGCCAGCCGCCGCCTTGATCCGAAGACCGTCGATAAGCGTTCTCAGGTCTTCCTTGAACCGAACGGTACTCGTAGCGTTTCTCAGATTCCACATCCATAGGCCCGGGTACGTCGCCAGAACTCCAAACATCGTCTCGTTCGAGTATCGCAACATACAGTGATCCTCCCATTCAACGGCCTGCTTCTGATTAGGGCATGATTTTAGAAGCTTGGCGGTGATATCCCGGAGACATTGGCGGCACTCGTCGAGCTCGACGTCACCCCTGCAGAGCACGGCGGCGTTGGATCTATCGGGATTTAGCCCGACGGAGGCGTTGTAGAAACCGGTGCTGCTAAGGCCAGTGGGGAGAGAGGAAAGGACGGCGTTGAGATTTGACATGTACGAGCTGTTAGTGGTGTAGTTGCCTTTGTCATTTAGGCACATGGATTGGACCGAGGCTAACAAGTTTGCCAGAATTAGGAATTTGAAAACTAGAGACATTTTTTTTTTTTTGAGATAGAAATTTTGGACAAAATGGTTGCAATATGCTACATTTAATTCAATGGCTCTTCTTGTTTGACAATTTTCATCTCCATTCCCTATGCTTTCTTGTGGAGAACTGATCAAAAGAATTGAATATCATTTGACTCGTTATTACTAATTAATAGTCTAAACCATTTATAAAGCCACTTTTAGAGAAAGAAATGGTCGAGTCCTACTAAATTAGGGTGAAGTTAATCATGTCTTGAATGTCAAAACGACTCTTGGCAAACGATATCTCCACTCTCGAATTGACGAAGAACGTAAAGAAATACAATACTTGGTGTGTTTGTAGAATTAGGATTATTATTATAAAATTATATTTAGATTAGGAATTGTAACTAGATATATATAACTCTTATTATAAATATATAATAGGGGGCATCTATTCCAATTTCCAAGTACTCTAACATGGTATCATAGCCATACTGTTGTTTTTCTTTTGGTGTTTCTCCATTTTTCGTTCAGTTATAACGAGACGGAAAACATCATTAACCAGCGTGTTTTTTTTTTGTTTTTTTTTTTTTGTCATTGTAATATTGTTTGTGGCGTTTCTTCTTATTTCTCACGCTTTCAAAGTAAAACGCCATAAATCATTACTCTTGTTTTTCTTTGCAGTATTGTTTTTTGCGTCTTTCTATCTTTCACTCTTCCATCGAAGTGCAAAATATTATATGAGCTTAGTTTGAGTCTAATAAAATATTATAAACACGTGAATTTGAGATCAAAGTGTGAAGCCCAATAATATTTGATCTGCTCAAAACTCGGGTCACATGACCCGATTGTCACCCCTAACGATGAATCTTGAATTTGTCCTAATACTACGATTTTATTTCAAAAAATTTGCTGGTAAGCTTAAAAATTCATAAAAATAAATTATGCAAGAATCTTATAAACTCGATTTTGAGCCCGATATAATATCCCAAAATGCAAAAATTAAATGAGTCGTGTTTAAGCCTAACAATATATATTATGCGTGTGAGTTTGTGATTCAAATCGTGAATCTCGATAGTATTTGAACCGATCAAAACTCGGGTCACATGTCCAATTTTGTCAATCCCTAACGATGAATCTTGAATTTGTCTAAATCATAAAAATAAATTATGCAAGAAGAATCTTATAGCCCGCCCCCCTTGCGTGGATGCTAATTAAAAATTGCTTATGGTTAATCCACCAAAAGAAGTCTACTTGACTTGAGACCTTATTGTCAGAAACATGGAGGCATGTTATTCGTCTTCCTATAATGAACTAAATCCATTTCGTAATCCAAAAAAAATAAAAATAATAATTATTTTTGCATGACTTGCTAACCAACACTTCATCACAATTCACAATATACAGTAGAACCTCGATAAATTAATACCTGATAAATTAATAACCTCGCTTAAATTATAAATTTTCCCGGTCCCGACTCAGGGATAATGTGCTAAATTAATAATTCGCTAAATTTATAAGATAATTAATACACATTCGAAAATTTTAAGAAGCCCCATGTAATATATAAATTAATAATGCATAACAATAATTCTTGAATTACATGGGACATGACATATTTTATAGATCTATGAAGGCTTAATACAATATAATTTAAATCTCGTTTGTTTCTTGTTGAAGTTCCCATTTCCATCAATCTCGTCCCTCGCTTTTCTTAACATAGTTAGAACTTTCGGTATGATTTTCTCATACTTCAACATAATTCGTTCTATATCATTGCTTCTTTAAGAGCTTTCGTTTGTGAAACTGACTCTACAGTGCATTAAACTAATGATACAATGAATAGTATACACGTAATTTAAAAAAAAAAACTTTTTTGGAAATAATAATAAAAGTAATTTCATAAATTAATAAGTTATTAATTAATGTATAAATTAATAATTATTAATTTATCGATAAGTTAATATTTCGCTAAATTAATGGAATTTTGATGGTCCCAACTGTATTAATTTATAGAGGTTTAACTGTACATAGCTGTCAATCTCTTACGGATAGATCAATGGAATTAAGAGATGTTATTGTCAAGGCAATATTGATAGATATAATAATGCAGTAGATTCTTTGGCACCAAATATTACTCCATTTATTATGTATATATATATATATATATATATATATATATATATATATATATATATATAGTGGCGGATTGACTCTAGTTTTAGGGTGTTCAACTGCACACTCTTGATTTCAATACTGCGTTAAATGCATTTTTCCTGTTTTAACCTTATTAATAAAACATTATTCATTAATTTTCTCTTATAGATCATTAAATATTAAAGGTTGTTTTAGTTATTTTTATATGATTTTTCTAAAATCAAGATATATTTATTGAGTTTTTTAATCTTTGTGAAAAGTGAAAAGTGACAATTATTTAGGAAAGGATGGAGTATTTATTATAGGGCAAATGACAAGTAGCACTTAATTAAAAGAGGGACATTCAACTTTTTTGTCTTTCAAATAAATCCAGCTCATTCAAACTTATTTGCAAATAAGGAAAATCCTTTTATATATACCAAAATTACCCCCAATTCATTGAAACTCAATTCAACTCCAATTTCATGATTTACACCCCAATTTAGCCCAACTTCATCAATTAACCAATTTTAACCCTAATTTTAATTTTGACCCCAATTTTAACCCGCCATCACGGGAGACCGCCGGTCAGCCGCCGTTGACCGCCGGTCTCCGGCGTTCACTTTTTTTTTTATGATTTTTTCTTCAGCAACAGTAGCATCAATCTCTGTTGATGGGTCAAATTTATCTCGATGCATGAAAAGTCTTTGGAAATTAGATCGGGACAATTTGTGATATTGTATTTTCTGTCTTGGTTTCATTGTGATGTGTATTTGTTGTTGATTGAACCAACTGTTCTTTATCATACAAGTGTATTACAAATTCATAATTATCTTTCAATTTAAGTTGTATTCTTAATATTTTTTTTCGATAACGTAACTTTTATCTGTTTTTAACATATACCTGTTGTTAATCAATTGAATCACCCCTGTTGTAATAAAGGTAATTTTGTATTCAATTCTAGTTATCTATTAGCATGGTTTACTGCATAACAATTCTGTGTTTTTGGTAATGCACAGTGATTAACGTTGCTGATTAACATCTGTAGCATTTTGTTTTAAGTATATGGTCAACTGAAAGTCTTTAATATTACTGTCTTGACTACTAAATTACTGTCTCAAACAGGTATATAACTGTCGGAGACAGTAATTTAACTGTTAATTGAGCTTTTTTTTCTTCAAAAATATTTTAATTAATATTACTGTCTTGGCTGCTAAATTACTGTCTCCCGCAGTTATTTAATTGTCGGAGACAGTAATTTAAATGTTAATTGACATCTTTTTTTTAATATTTTATTTAATATTACTGTATTTGTTGCTAAATTACTGTCTCCAGCAATTATTTAGCTGTCGGAGACAGTAATTTAACTGTTAATTGACTTTTTATTCTTAAAAAAAAAATCGGATCTGAAATTTAATTTTACAATGTCGGTTTTTATTAAATCGGATCGAACCGATCGAACCGGCCGGTTCGATGGCTCTAATCAATCCAATTGACCGAATCCACGTGGATTCGGGTCGGTCAGACCGGTTCTCGGTCTGACTGACCCGACCCACTGATTTGGGTCAACTGGACCGGTCAGAACCGGACCAGTTCGGTCCGAACCAGTCAGACTGATCGGGCCGGACCGGTTCTCTGAAAATTAAAAAAAATTAACAAATATATATATATATATATATATATATATATATATATATATATATATATATATATATATTTCATTAACAATCTGCTACTAAAAGTAACAAAATCACAACTGCGAAAAAAATGCAAAATCAACTATATATTACAAAAAAAAATATACCAACATTATAAATAATTTATACAATTGGAACCAGTAAATAAAAAATTCAAAAAAATAAAAAAAATTGGAGTCGATCAACCTTAATCGACTGCCAGAGCATAGTCGATTAGCTTAATCGACTATGAACATGTACATAGTCGATTAAGGTTTCAGCCTGCGCGAAATTCTCTACAGGCGCCGTCCTCCGTCCCATCCACCAAATAACCCTAAATCTGCCTCCTTATCGTAGACACACCGCCGCAACACACTATACCACCTTACTTTGACATTATGATGGTTTTTTTATTACAAATAAATAATTGAATCCCAACTCGCACCACCAACCAAAGCAAAACCACCACCCATCAAAATCCGATTATGGCGACGAATCGAAAATCTTTTCGCCGTCGATGTACCAATCCTGACATTCAAATTCAGAATCGCTATCAAAATCATTTATAATGTCTGATGGGTGCTTCATCTTGTTTCTTTCTCAATATTCCGGCGGTAGCGCGGAGAAGATTGCCGGAGAAAACAGAGGGGTAAAAAAACGAGAAAACAGAAGAAGAGAAAAGCTGCTGGAGAAAACAGAGGGAAAAAAGAACAAAGAAGACGAGAAAACAGAAGAAGAGAGAAGAGAGAAGAAGAGAAAAGAAAGCTGGAACATGAATCGGCGGATGAAAAATTGAAAATAAGATTAGGGTTTTGAAAGAGTATAATAGACAATTAAGTGTAGTTTTGGAATTATGAAAATAACTTTTGGCGGAATACTAACTAAGGGGGTTTTCTCTTATTATTTTTGAGATGGAGGTTTTTCTTGACTACATTTCCTAGATGAAGGGGGTCTTAGCTAATAATCACCTATAGAAAACAACTAAAAACTATCGAAAACAACTATAAAAAATTGTAGAACAACGAAAACAACTGTAAAAAAAAAATAGCATAATAGCAAAAACAACTATATTTCTTCAAAACCTACCCAACATAAAAAATATCACAACAAGATAAAATAAGATAAATGATGGCAAAAAGGCGAATTCATTGGCCGCCAAAAGAGAAGTGCGACGCTGGTAGAGAGAAAATGGAAAGATGAGAAATATTGGTTGGGAAGAAATGAAGAAGAGGAAGACGGCTGGTGGAAATTAAAAATGAGGAAGAGGAGAAGATACTAGGGTTTCACAATTTGTGTAAAAAGTAAATACGGACAAATAAAGTTTATTAGATAGTAAATTGTTAAATGTTTAATTAATTAAATAAATAAGGGAGTTTTGACTAATAGAGTAAAATGAGTTGGATCCTCCCTTATTATGCCCAATGTATTGGGGATTTCACTAATTATACCTTAAAACATCTATAAATTAATACAGTCGGGAATATGTAAATTCTATTAATTAGTGAATTATTAACTGATCGAGTTAATAATTTAACAAGTTTTCATCGAGTCGAGACCAAAATAAAATATTATATAAGCAATGTTATTAATTTATCGAGGTTCTATTGGAATACATATTTAGAATAAATTGTACAATAGAATAGTTTTAATATGTTCTTTGAAATGTATTTAAGATTAGATAAAAATTCAAATGTCTTCAAATTTTATCTACACTTACAATTTTAGTGCAAATGTTTTTGAAAAAAAATCGAATCAAATATTGAAATTCGAAATGAGATAAAAAAATATCTTATAATTAGAAAATTTTGAATATACAATGAGTGAAAAGTAAAGTTACCAGAGTCTTAGGCATATACAAATCTCAATTTAAAAGAAAGACAAACATATAAACAATCTTCCATAACTGGTTCATGATCACAACTTTATTTCATAAATATTAACGCACAACACATAGAATAAAGAAAAGAAACAACGATTCAATTGTAGCCAATATACATAGTTTTAAAGATATAACCAATACAAGACAAACACTTATTTGCAAATTACCGGGGATATAAATCAGTAGATGTCACATCATTTATAAATACGCCTTCAGATATCGATGTCCTGGTCTTGAATCCTTTGCCAGCATCTGACGAGTTCGAATCATCGTAGTTATGAGAGAGTGAAGTGTCTTGGCCCAAAATACTGGCCATAAAAAATGCTGGTTCCGAAGGTATTGGCATGGTCATGGTGGAGCTGCTCAGCATTACAAGAATAGAAGCCATTGTTGGTCTTTTGGCAGCATTTTCTTGAACACACAACAAGCCAATGTGAATGCATTTTATCATATCCCGTAACGAACCCGTGCCAGCTGCTCTCAAGACAGGATCTATCATATTCTCAGTCGTTCCTTCGCGCCAATTCTTCCATGTCTATAAATATATATGTATATATACGTATATGCACGTCATTTTGACCAGATTAATATTTGGCTTTAAAATTTACGGCATCTAAGTAATTAATTACTTACAAAAGTCAAAAGATCCTCCACATTGTCCCCGATCTTGATAGACCTATTTTTTTGACCGCTCATGATTTCCAGGACTAAAACTCCGAAACTAAACACATCGGACTTAACAGAGAAATGCCCGTGCATTGCGTATTCAGGCGACATATATCCACTGCAACAACATAGAAATACTTTCTTAGTTTAGATTCTGATTCAAGCATATAGTAACAGACATTACTTACTAAGTTCCGACAATCTTGCTTGTATTTCCTTGAGTTTCATCTTGTTCGAATAATCTCGCCATGCCAAAATCTGCGATTTTAGGATTCATCTCTCTATCTAAGAGTACATTAGCAGGTTTGAGATCACGGTGAATGATCCTGAGTTGAGAATCCTCATGCAAGTACACAAGTCCTCTTGCGACACCCCCTATGATCTTGTAGCGTTTATCCCAATCCAAACACGAACGCTTTGCTGGGTCTATATGTTTAATTAAATAAGGTTAAATCAAATTAGCTATGTCTAAATTGAGCTAAGTAATTTTTACCAATATATTTATTATTTTATAAAACTATTGAGACGAAATATTACCTAACATATAGAGATCAAGGCTTCCATTCCGAACAAATTCATACACGAGAAGCTTTTCAGTTCCTTGTATAGAGAAACCCAAGAGTCTAACCAGATTCCGGTGTTGAAGTTTAGCGAGTAATAAGATCTCATTCTTAAATTCTACACCACCCTGTCCTGAATTCATGGACAATCTTTTGACCGCTATTTCTTGATCATTAGGGAGTTTTCCCTGCAATTAAATTGCAAAAATCATTAGTTTTTGGTACCAATCAACGTTTGTGCTTATGCTAGAATGAATTTCTATATCAAATAACCTTATAAACAACACCAAATCCACCTTGCCCAAGCTTGTTAATATCAGAGAAATCATTTGTTGCTGCTTTGATTGTGCTATAACTATACTGTAGAGATTCAACTGTAGTAATCTCGTTTGCAGCTTCATCTACAGTTAAAAATAAAGATTATACTTGAATACGTGCAACAATTACACTAGTAAACAAAATTATGGATTTCAAAAATAAGATTTCTTACTCGCAGGATTTCCAATTGGTTTATGTTTTATCCTTTTTCTTAAACAAATACCAACTGAAACAACTACTAATATCACACATGCAGCAATTGAAACCCCAATAATAACAATAGTTCGAGCTGATGAATTGTCATCTTTCTTTCCTGCAAAATTCCAAAGAACTTGTCAATCCTTTTGACACTGAAATAGTTAGGCCTCGTTTGATTGGGAAGCTTAGCCATTAATAGTTGCATAATTAGCCTTATTAGATGTTTGATTAGTCCAATGATTTTTCTAGTGTGCCTGCAATTTTGGGA